GTATATATGTACATATATATACTTATCTAAAAATATACACACGCAAGCACACACACACACACACACACACACACACATACACATACACATACAACACACACACACACACACACACACACACACACACACAACACACACACACACACACACACACACACACACACACACACACACACACACACACACACATATATATATATATATATATATATATATATATATATATATATATATATATATATATATATATACAAATTGTACACATATATGTTATATATATACATACTGTATACGTGTTAAAATATACTTCCTGAATGTTGTGCAGCGGACTTCAGCAAACTCACTACACTGTCAAGCAAAATGATTTTCAAACCACAAAAGAAGCACAGACGACGTCAAATTCAACGCCCAAATTCGAACGGCGAACTAGACTCATTTCTATGCAAGGACGACCTCTCTATTTGCTCATAGACGGGTTACTTAGATTGTGATTGTGATTGTGATTGTGATTGTAATTGTGATTGTGTGGTGTGTGTGTGTGTGTGTGTGTGTGTGTGTGTGTGTGTGTGTGTGTGTGTGTGTGTGTGTGTGTGTGTGTGTGTGTAATCTTTTAGTTAAGGGATATCTAGATTTAGATAATTGCTTCAGGTGATGGGCGTGTATAATGATGGTAAAAATGATAGATAAACAACGATGATAAGAAAACCAAAGACTAATGAAATAACCAAGCGTAACGAAGGTAATAACGGAAGAGATGTCTACCAATCTCCACTTTTAGCTTCATCTGTCATTTCCGCTTTCATCGGTTCCATTTTAATGTGCTGTTATTCTCTCTCTGCCTTCCTGCCCTTTATTTCCCTTGAATTCTTCTCTTTCCATTGAATTCTTTCGGTATTTAAACGTAGACAATACATCAGAAAGAGTCCTTGTCTTGTAAGGTTTGCCTTGTTCAGAAAGTCCAAATGGATTTCGGAAATGGCAATACGAATTCAATGTTTTTGAAAAAAGGCCAAAAAGAAAAGAAAAAACTAAAAAAATCTACGCGTGACCATTCCCGCCTGGCATCCCGGCCTCGACCCCGCGGCCGCCGGGCGCCGAGTCAGCGGCGGAGCCTCTGCGCCTCGGAAGCTGTTGCTTAGACGGAAGAAATCACATCGTTATGATTTTGTTACGTTAGTTTGCTTGAAATTATCGGAATGATTATTCAAGTCAATAAGGGGTAATAGTGTAGGTTACTACGTTCATGTGTATATTTACTCGTGTGTGTGTGTTTTCCGTTTCATGGTTTTACATGTACGTAGGTCTATGTACTTTCAGATAACGTATTATTATATGAATTGTTGTGTGTGTGCGTATCTTTGTCGTTGAGTATAAATTGTGAATATGTGTGCTCTATCTCCTCTGTTTTTTGTTGTCGCCATAATTACCTCCGCCAAAAAGCTGGTTTTTGGTAACGTCGGTTAGTTTGTTTGTTCGTTGGTTAACAGGATAATCCAAAAAGTTATAAACAGTGTGCTTTAACTTATATTAGATGCCATTAAATTTTGACGGCGATCTGGAATATGAACGTTATGAACAAATTTTTTATGACATATTTACCTGAGGCTCGTCTTAGTCCAATGTATAAGCCACATTTCCTTTTTCATGGACTCCTTAGCACTGCGAGTCGGAGAACCACGGACGCCTCAAGCAGCGGACTTGAGAAACAGGCGATTCTTATGTAATTATTCATGAATATTCCTCTTGCATCAGGCACCCGAGTCTATCCTTATTGTCATAATCATTATCACAGTTATTACATTAATTATTGTCCTTATTACCACCATCGTCATCGCTACAATTATTATTTCCACCAAGGATATGGTTTTGGTTTAGCCTCCTAAGTAACTAAAATAAACAAAATAAAAGCATTCTGCAGATATGTTCGGAAACCACGGCAGAAAAAAGAAAAGTATAATATTCTTCATGCACACGAACACAAAACTCCATTTTGAAGCCAACAGAAACACGGGCGTCACCAGTGCGCTTGAGAAGGAGGCGATCCTGACGTCATTCTTCAAGTGGGAATAAAATTTATTGCATCCGTGACCCCTATTACCTCGGCGGAGGTATGCGCTTCCCGAGTGTCTCTAGTTCTCTTTATTATCATTATTTCCTCGGCCGTAACAAGTACGTTTATCACCTAAAGCAAATACCCAAACCTGAAAGTTTTTTTTCCTAAAAGATTATCGACATTAACATGTATAATTATAGGAAGGTCCAATCCGCAGAAATAATCTGATATATGATACGAAACAAACAAACAAACAAAATAATAATAGATAAATGAAAAATAAAGAATGGTCATTGTTTATGTGAATTATAATACAAGTATTACAATATATCATCGTCATCATCATATAATTTTTAATATTAGTCTACAGCATTTTTTTTCTTGAATAGCGGACCCGCCGACATTTATTTTTAGGAAAATGGAAAAAGTGAGAATCCCGATTTATTC